AATCCTAGAGATAATGCAGGACATGGAACTCAAAAGAACAATTATAAACATGATAAAAGAATTCAGTGAATTTAAAGAACACACAAAAAAAAAAGAAATCAAAGAACTGAAGGAAGATAAGGATAAATTTCTGAATGAATTCAGAAAGAGCTAGAAATATTGAAGAATACTCAGGCTGAAATGGAGAAGGAAGTGAAACACTCAGTAAGCCAATTAGGAACGACAGGAGAAAGCCTCACCAATAGGATGAATGAAATGGAAAATAGAGTATCAAGACAGGAAGATAAAGTGGACGAACTAGACCACTAAAGCAAAGGTTATGAAAAATTTAAGAAATCACAAGAATGGAATATGCAGGAATCGTGTGACACCATAAAAAGACCAAACTTACGAATCATAGGCAAACAGGAAGGAGAAGAATCCCAAGATAATGGCATGGACCAGATCTTCAACAGAATCGTGGAAGAAAATTTCCCAAAATTAAAGAGAGACACATCCATACAAATACAAGAAATATATAGAACAACAAACAGACAGGACCAGGAATGAAACACTACATGGCACATCACAGTAAAAACACTAAATGTACAAAACAAAGAGACAATACTGAAAGCTGCAAAGGAGAAACAATGAGTCACAAACAAAGGAAAACCCATTAGGATTACAGCTGACTTTTCAGTGCAAACTATGAAAGCCAGAAGACCCTGGACCAAAGCATTCACAGTTTTAAATGACCATACAGGCCAAACCAGATTACTACACACAGCCAAAATATCTATTAGAGTCGAAGGGGAAAGAAAAATTTTTCATGACATAAATAGGCTGAAGGAATTCATGTCCACAAAAGCAGCCCTTCAGAGAGTTCTGGAAGCAATACAAAGAGCTGAAGAAAGAAATGACTATACCCAAGGGGTTGCGGAAAGAAATTCAATTAAGATATAACTGTGGAAAAGAACAGCTATATCACAAATATAATCAGAAATAAAAATGACAGGATTCAACACTCATCTTTCACTAATAACTTTAAATATTAATGGACTGAACTCCCCAGTCAAAAGACACATACTAGGAGAATGGATTAAGAAACAAAACCCATCTTTTTGGTGTCTGCAAGAAACTCATCTCACTTTCAAGGACAGGCACTATCTTAAAGTGAAAGGATGGGAAAAAAAAATATACCAGGCAAATGGTAGTAAGAAAAAAGCAAGTGTAGCAATTCTAATATCTGACAAAATAGATTTTAAACTCAAACTGATCAGAAGAGATAAAGAAGGCCACTTCATTTTGATCAAAGGAACAATAAATCAAGAAGATATTACAATCATAAATATATATTCACCAAACTCTGGTGCACCCAACTTCATAAAAACAATACTATAGGACTTTAAAAACCAAATTAATCCCAGCTCATTAATATTAGAGGACTTCAATACCCCACTGTTTCCATTAGACAGGTGAACAGGGCAGAGAGGTAACAGACACCTGAATTAAACAATACCATATATCAAATGGACTTAACAGACATCTATTGAGTATTCCACCTGAGCACCAAGGGACATATTTTCTACTCAGCACCCCATGGAACAGTCTCCAAAATTGACCATAAACTGGGGCACAAAACAAACCTC